AGAAAGAAAGAAAGAAAGAAAGAAAGAAAGAAAGAAAGAAAGAAAGAAAGAAAGAAAGAAAGAAAGAAAGAAAGAAAGAAAGAAAGAAAGAAAACTGACGTGGTATTAAGTTCAGGCAAAGGAGGGAAAGAAAAACATGCCCAAAATATGGAGAAAATGCTTCCTTTCTCCTTTTAATCAAAACACAGGTGTTCATACATAACCAGATCATACTGATATCTGGTTACAGAAATGTGAAATGAAAACTGCATGTTAAATTTTTACAAAATGTCTATGAATAGCTGATAAAATTTAGCATTACTCACCACTGTTCCAAGAAACTGAATACTAAGATTTCCACCTGCATCTCGAGAAAGGCACTGGAAGAAACAGAATAGCAATTAGGCTATAGTCTATCAGCAAGAAATTTTCTTCCTAAGCATTCTGACAAATTGCTTATGACATACTGAGATATATACACATGCCACATCCAAATTCAATGAAACCCATGTGGTTAAAACATAAGGTACGTGATACAAGAAAATAACATTATTCACATTAACATTTGACAGAATATAGTTTCCACAGCTGAATGGAATGGGCATTGGATTCAGTACCCATTCAGAAATGAACTATAATCAAACAATCAGAATTGACTATAATCAATTCTCTTTCCATCATTCACTGATCAAATAAGATACAAATCTTAAATATCCAAATATACTGACAGAGACTCCTACTTAATTTTACTGTTCATCTTGTTACTTTCCACTTATGTAGGACTCTGCAACAAATTTGAGCTCAAAATGGTGGCTTAATTTTTGGCCTATGCAGTAAGAACTAAATCTCCATTTAGCCATAAAACTAACTGAATGATTTGGGACATTGTATGAGGAGAGCCGTGTTAGACTATGATGGCAAACAATCAGAAGTACACTAGAGGCAGCTTTTCCAACTCCCAAATTTAATTAAAAGGCATACACTTCCAAGAGCTGCCGCTTGCCTCATCAGATGCACAGATTTGGGGTAATTGACTTTTAGGGCACTTCTACCATTTTCATCCCCCAGACTCTTACACACACCCCCGATGGTGATTCATTACTGTGTTTGCTTATGCTTGTGTGAAATGTTGAAGAATAACAACCACTGCCCTGAGTTGCTACAGCTCTTACAGGAACAAACACTGCTTCACCTCCAAACAGAAGAGAATATATGTAGCTCAGGGTTGAACTGTGGAGTCCTTGATATTCTCTGAGCTTGGTTATTTGTATGCAGACATTTCGTTACCCAACTAAGTAATATCAGTGCGAGTGAGTGTGGGGTTTGCTCCCCGTTTATATAAAGTAACTTGCCCTGCCAGTGGTGGTGGTGGGGGGTTTTCTCCTTGGTGGCTACAAGTGATACCAGCTGTCGAAATGTACAGTCTGACTTGAATCAAACAATATAAACTTCAATATAAAATACATGACTCTCATAAAAAAGGAAGGTGTTGGTTTGAATAATCCAATTAAGCTTAGGCCCAGAAAAAAGGGATGAGGAAATAATAATTTGCAAGCAACAGAATGAAATACAGCAAATTGGAAAAACTGGGAAAGAGGGGGAGGGATGAAAATGCCAATTCTTGTGCATAAAAGAGGAAAACAGTTATTCTCCTTCAGCGGAGAACTTGTATGTTCTAAATCGGTATTTTTCAAACTCAGCAACTTTAAGATGTGTGGACTTCAACTCCCAAAATTCCCCAGCCAGCATGTTATGAATAGAATATCCTCTTCCTTCACTACAGGAGTCCGGACTGGTCAGCTCAGAATTTATTTTGGAGAGCTAGATTAAGATACTGATTTTGAGCTCATTCCTAATAATTGGACCTCCTTCTAATTATTAATAAGAAAATATAAGTGATAACTCTTGGTACTCTGGCTTGAGAGTCAGTTTGGTGTAGTGGTTAAAGGCACCAGACTAAAATTGGGAGACCCTGAGTTCTAGTCCTGCCTTAGGCACAAAGCCAGCTGGGTGACCTTGGGCCATCGCCCTCGCTCAGCCCTGGGAAGGAGGCGGCCAGGGCAAACCACTTCCAAACATTCCACACTGACTTGAAGGCACAATAAATAAACAAAGAAACACACACACAAATCAGGCTTACCCTTAATCCTTGCTTAAGTCTGTTTGGTCAAAATGGATATTTTACATTCAGCTGAATAAGGGGTACAAAAAGAATAGTAGGATGACACAGCTAAACACACACACACACACACACAATCATACAGACATGCAAATACTACATACCCTGAGGTAACATTGTAAGAATATCACTTATTTTTTTAAAGCTTCATGAAAGGAATGACTATGGGAAGCAATCTCCCTTCTACACAATCATAGCTGCATTTTAAATAAAAACAATATTGCCTTTGATTTTTTTTTCTTTTTTCTTTCCCTTCAATTAATAATCATGTATTAGTCCTCCAGTCTGTTCATAGGAAAACAAAGGAGAATGAACCAAGTCCGGACATATTTCAACAAAAATGATTAACAGAATGGAAAATATGGGGAAAATCATACAAAAAACCTGACATTTACATTTATAAAGGAAACAGGAATATACAGTTTTCCCAACAGACTGGAGGAAACCCAGTCACATTTTGGAAACTGAAAAGAAGAACAAAGTGCCAGGGCCTACAATGAAGAATCCACGTGCCAAAACAAACAGATACAAACTAATCAGTAAGTTGTCAAAACTGGTTAACTGAAAAATATTCTTTCATTTTCTTTTTAATTGAGTGCTCTTCACCTTCATATCTTCTGTATGAATTTCAGTGGAAAAATCCTCTGCATGAATAGTTGATGAGGGAGCAAAGGTGAAAGGGAGAATAAGAAGGTGCAGGTGTTTTATTTATCAGTATGTGAGAAAGAAGGACACAACCTGAATATTGTATGTGACTAGGGTGATATTTCCTGAGTCAGGGAGTCAGATCAAGTGGAATATTGTGTGTGCGGGTGTTCAGATTCCAAGATTTTTAATCTAAGGGGCTGAATCTTACCTATCTTTCATTAAGATCAATCTTTATTATTTTTACCCAGAAGAAACAGTATGTATGATATAGTAGGACACAGGTTGTAAAATGCATCTGAATATAAATGCTTTTCTTTTAAAACATAGTATTTCTAGTCCCTTTATTTTAAAGATAAAGAAATCATAAAATTATTTATTGTATTTTTATGCCACCACAATGATAATAAACTCTCAGTGGCTTACACAGGAAAAAGTACAATATAAAATATAACCCAATACAAAAACTAAAAACCCACAGCAATACAAAGATATCAAAAAATAAAAAATAAAAGACTGCAATATCAAATCAAATCAGGGAAAAGTTCTCCTAAATAGCTCGGTCTTCTAGGGCTTTTGAAAGAAGATAGTCTTCTCTCCCCAAGAAGGCTGTTCCACAGTGTTTGTGTTACAACAGAAAGCAGCACCTTCTTGCTTCAGCCCGCTGAACCTCCTGAAAGTGTGGGATTTTTAACAGCTCCTCCCTGGTAAATGTAATTGGTTGGCTGAAACTAATTAGACAAGGCAGTCCTCCAGGTGCCATGCCATGAAGGGCTTTATAGATCAAAACCAGCACCTTAAATTGGACCCAGAAACCAACTGGTAACAAATACAGGACCCACAAAACCACTCTTATGTGTTCCCAAAGGAAGGAGCCAAAAGTATGCAGGCTGCTGATTTTGGACCAACTGCAGTTTCCAAATATTCTTTAAGGGCAGCCCCAAGTAGAGCATATTACAGTAGTCTAGCCAGGTGGTGATAAGGGCATAGCAACTGTTGCCAAGTGTTCCTACCCCAGGTAAGGCTGCAACTGGCACACCAGTCAGAGTTTGCTGTAGATCCCTCCAGCCGTGGCTTCCACCTGCTGCTCCTGTAGGAGCCGTTAAGTCCAGAAGGACCCTCAAGTCACAAACCTGCTCCCTGACAGTTAATGTTTGCCCATCCAGAGGTCATTCTGGCAACAACAGATGACCCCAAGGTACCGACAGCAATTCTGACTTCCCAGCATTCGAATTCTACCCCCTCCCATCCAGGCCCTGACAGCCTCTAGGCACAGCCTTTGGGAAAGGGTATCAATGGCATGTCCCCCATGGCTCAAAGTAGTGATGTCTAATTGGGTGTCATCAGCAGATTGATGATACCACTCCCCACACTATCCAATGATCCCTCCCTGTGGCTTCATGTAGGCATTAAAAAGTAGGGAGATAAGATCAAACCCCCTGATACCACAAAGATCAGGGGCTACCAGGACAACCTCTCCTGCTTCACCAAACCATGTAGACAGTATGCTACCCACTTATTCAGTAAGAAGTCAATTTGTGTTTAATTTCTAGTATAGAGTGTAGAGATCAACCAGTTTAATGCTCTTACAATAAATATAAAGTTCAACAACATGTAAGTATTTAGATGTAAATAAATACTTCCAGCCAACCTGCATTTATACGAAGTTACACAATATTTTTTGGAAATATACTCTAAAAATATCTTACACCCTGCCAATGGGCTTTTGAAAGTGCAGTTTCTAGAACTTCAGAAAAGTATCCTTGTCCACAAGTTACTTATTACACCAAATGTTTTAAAAAGGTGCCGCACTCATTGTATTGTACCTGTACCTGTATATTGTGCAGACTGTTGTACCTAGAACTAAAGATTAGACAAAATGGGGTAAGGCATTGTTATAACTTAACTTTAGTCACTCAAACAAAAAGAAAGAGAGAGAGGGAGATTGTGAATTGTATTCAATTCTGCAGCTACAACATCTTAGAACGTTTATTCAAGGTGGTGGTCTTTGCCAAACAGCCTAAAAGGAATATTTGGAGTTAAATAATTATCCCATTGAGCAGGTTAAATCATTTAAACCCCTAGGGAAACGCACAGGGAATATGTAGCACAAAAGTCCAGAAAGCTGCTGCCGCACTGCAATCATTCTCCTAGACTAAAGGGGCATTATTTATCTCTGCTGCCCACCAAGTGTACTTAGCCAAAGTTAGAGCAGAGCTGTTTTTCAGAGTCCAGGTTGCCCATACAGTCCCTTCTTTCCTTTAGAAAGAGTTCAGACTAAATCTCTTAGGTACACACTCCAAGCTCTTTGCTGTGTCTCATGATACTTGAGAGTGTGAGACATGATACTTCAGTGTGAGGCCAGCATCAGTAGAATTGAGACCAACATTTGGTTACACATTTTTATATACAGGCCCAAAATCTACCTTGCCCCTGTACATCTGACATCTCAGATCCTTAACAATAGTTTTGTTTCATTCTGGTCTAAAGCAACAGATTAAAAATCACAGGTCTTTTGATATTCTTAACTCAGTCTGCACAGTTGAGCATGAACAT